CCGTTAAACGTAAAAGGGCGTAATCCGTTTCTGTTGCACGTCGGACAGTTTAACCGACATTGTGCGCCTAATAAGGTTAAAAGTTGGACTTAATTGACGGATGAATAGATAAAGAATATTGCAACGCCCGTGGTCGCGGAGCGTTAATTCGTTATTAGCTCGGACATGCTTTGTGTTGTTCCATTAAATATTTGTTAATGGCCGACAAGCGTGCTCATTAGGCAGCGCGGACGTTAATTACGATTCGTACGAACAAACGGTGGTTCTTTTGTCGCGTTGTCTTCGTATATGTTAAACTTTCTTGCGAAATTGAATGCTCTTTGGGTAGAGTGTAACGAGAATTTCTTATCGGAAAGATATTATAATTGGGGCATTGTTGCGGTACAGGTATTAAATTCTGAATAATTGAAACTCGAACGAGACACGATTTAGGCTTGGTAACGAGCAGAGTATCGTGGGTTATCGTACAATCTCCGTCGATAAAACTAGTTTGATTTTCCGGGTAGAATTTATCTTTCTACGATTCGTTGCAATTTTCCCTTTCTTTGTAGATTTTTCAACGTTCGGCTCGCACCGAAGGCAGAATTTCCCGGAATTACGAACGCAAGAAATTCGTTCGCGAGCCGACACGGTCGTGTTTTGTCACGCGTTCGAGAAATTTCAATTAGCCTCATGGGAAAACGCTTTAAACATCGAGTTACGTCGCGTATTCGAAAAATATCGTCAAACGACGGCGCTTATTTAACAGCGTTAAATCTCCACCCCCGTTTCGGAAGCCTCCGCGTAATTACTATCGTTGATCGATCACGTCGCGACCAATAAAACACAATAACCGTGCGCCCGACATTAATTATACCGTCGCGTACTTTACAGCGCGGAACGTCCACGCGGAAAACCAATTTCCATTGTTTGCCCGACTCTTTAATCACGGAATCCTTTACAACCGAATAAACCTTCCGCTTCATGGACCCGCGTACCGACGAAAAGGAGCCGTTAAACGGGGACGAGATCGCGCGGCTCGATACCAACAAATGAAATTCAATGAAACGCGTCGCCCACCGAGCGAGGAGAACGAACGAGCCTCGAAAACGACCTCTTCTTCTCCCGAGATACTCTCCAAGGTTTCGACAATTTCGACGAAAAGGAACCTTCGTTTTGTCGAGGATTCGGTAGAAGCAGACACGTCTGATAGAATCCTCCTACGAGAGTCACTTTTTTCTCAACGATCCAACCGATACGTTTGCCTTTATTTTCACTGGCCCGAGTGCCATCGAGAAGAAATATCATCCCTGTATAAACGGCATCGTTATTCCGATAGACTTTTGCGAGAGAAGAATTGGGCAATCTTTACTAGAAGCTGTTTCTTTTTTTTTACCGGTAACCTACATTCCCTTTAACCGAATCCAACGTGCAAAACGCCTCCGCTTTTTGTTTGCGAACGTTAGCAGACTCCCGTTCCCTTCGGAATTTAACCAACAACCCCCGTAAATCCGAGGTTCGATCCTCATTAAAACCTCGCCGAATAAGAAAATCCGGATAACACCGATATATCTTCGCCGTTACGTCCACCGACACGCGATGTATCGGGTCACGAACCGTTGAAAATAAAGCGATAGATAACCCCGCGATGAAAAATACCACCCCTGTTCTTTCCAGCCCCTCGCGAAACGTACCGGCTCGAAAATAAAAGCCCGAGTCCAATCTCCCCCGGACGTTCCACCGGTTCCGAAAACGGATGATGCCCGTTGGAAACAAAACGGGACGGAGGACGCGCACCCCTTCCACGGCGTGTAAACAGCCCCGAAGACCGGGCACTCGAGCGAGACGATACCAACGAGACAGTACGAAACGAAAACGTCTCACGGAAGCGGCGTCTAGAGCAGGTGGCGGTGCAGGTGTGCTCCTCGAGTCTGCCCGACCCTTTCAGACTCGGGGAATTACCGAAAGTAAACTTTCCGCGTTTAATGCGGTTAAGCCATAATCGGATCTTCCCGCTCGATACACGTAACGTCGGCTGCGCTCGAGCTCTTCGGAAGCGCCACTGCGAACGGCTGTGCACGCTCGCCCGACACCGACTCGGAAACCTAATAAATGTGAAAACGTTCCTTCGATTGGTCCTACGTAGCCTTTCGCCTTTCACCTTTGCCAACCTACGTTTCGCTGGACTGCGAATCCGATCGGACTTTATTCAAACTTTATTCAAAGTTTCGTTGTAATAAAAAGGACGTTGTTCGATTAAAGCTGTTTACTCCGGGCATGTTTAAATAGCGAATAAAAATGGCAATGTCTCGTGTAAATAAGAATTCTGATTGAATTCTTCTCTATACCAAAACGTCCGTACATATTTTGTATAGAGTACAGTCAGTCTCACGAATATTTATACGCGCTCTCAATAAACGGCACCACAGCCGAATGGTTAAAACGTATAGAAAGCAGGCTAATGGAAACGTAAAATGCAATATCTCGAGTTACATCGCGCGTTTCCCTGACCCCGCCGCGGCAAATTTAAAAGGTCCGCGAGGGATCCGAAAGGAATGTTTATGAGAGAACTTCCCGCGACAAGATACATTTTTCGCGTCCCGGATACCGCCGCGAAAGCCTTCAATTAACCAACGGAACGTACCGCCGTCCATTTCCAGCGTATAATAATCGTCGTGGAAAAACGTGCCGCGAAATAAGACAGCGACGACTTCGCCCGTGCCCTCGAGGGCAATTTCCCGTGGCGGCATTTTTCCCCACGACGTGGAACACGAAACGTCTTCCGCAACCCGTGTCCCCCGTACTTTTTGTAAAAGAAATCTCTGTGTGTCCTTACGCGTCGCGGTTTCAATGCGCCTGGGCCATTCAATTAATCGTGCTCGAGGGCGAGTTCGTGTAACGCGCGTAACGTATAATTGCGCGTCGAGGGAGCCCGTTCTAATGACGTCGATTACTCTTTTAAGGGGGTTCTTGCACGGTACGCGAACATTGGCCCCTTTACTCATTCTTTATGTTTATGTATACCCATCCTCGACCCCTTCTGGCATTGTCTGGTAGATAACGGCTGGGAATCTGGAATCGTCGCCACCTACGAACGGAATGGCAGGATTAGAATTCCGTGGAACTATCGAAAAGTGAATCGACTTGATTCGTTAGGCGTGGATTGAAGGAAAATCACAATTAACGATTATTTATATCGTTTTCTGTTCGAATCCGGTGTCGTACGGAAATAAAAATTCGTAGAGCTGCGCCTAAATGTATCTCTGTTCGATCGAATAAAAATGTATCGGAATACCTGTTCCAAATCTGTCCGAATAACCGCTGAACATAATCAAGATTGTGTGATCCATTCGCTCGCGTAATAGAAACGTTGTTAACGAACCATCCTTTTTTACAATACCTACAAGTTCGGTCTTTATTCGTGTCCCAGACTGTAAACAATTTTACCACGCGCCACGACGTTAAGAAACCCGGTAATGACACGGAAAACGTCGCGATACCGTACGTTGTTAACGGACACGACCAACGAGAAACAAAGTATTTTCTCCTGGCGCGGAGAGGAAGTCGTAGAATCTCCAAGTTTAATTACCAGGACTGTCGAGAGAGAAATCACCCTTGACGGTCTCGTTTGACGAGGGAAGTTTTATTCACGGTAGCCGGTATCTTTCCCAGTATTCCGTCCACAATTGCTCGATGAAGATATCGCTTTAATTACGACAGGTCTTCTCAAGGAGACGGCGCTTCGAACTGCGCCATACGTACTGCTCGAGAGCTGCAGTCCAACGTGTTGGTCTCGAGTAAAAGTTCTTTTTTTACCATTTCGGAGAAGAAAAACCAGTTACGACGTCCCTCGACGTGGATTTTAATTTCTTTCTAATGGACAAAGTAGCCGATAGTAAACGCTATCAACGCGGAAATGATCACCGAATTCCTCCTTCCAGGATAACCATGCTTGTTCTAGCACGAGCGTAATCTTTACGCGCGTTATTAAATAATTCTCTCGTTGAATAACCATCAAAGGTTAAGTTCTTGTACGATTCTCTTCTTCGCATCGAACAAATTTACCAATGTCTGTTACGATAAAATTGGACGATCTAATATTAATTAATTCAACGTTAACCCCTTGCCGCGCTTTGACAAGTCCGACTCGCGATGAAGATTTTGGCGCAAACATGAACGTATCACGAGCCAGGATCGTAAATAAATAGTCGAGCCAAACGTAAACATCATTTTCCGGCCCCAAGTCTCGTCGAGCTAATTTCACATTTCAAATTTAACGAGTCAATCTCACATTTCAAATTTAACGAGTTAATTTCACTGTACATTTTACCAGTTTATCGCCAAACTAAAAATCAAAGCTATCTCGATAAAAAAATTTCTCGAATAAAATAAATATTCCAAATCACCAGCCAATCGTCTCGAGGAGCTCGTTTTCAATTAGCGCGAAAGCAAATCTGGTTGATTCCTCTTCTCGTGGCGTTATCGAGCTGCGCGCATTCTTCGGATGCTTCGTCTCGAAGGAACTCCTCCCTTCGATCGCATTAGCAATCATTGAACACAAGTAAATCCCTAGTGCCATTACGTCGTTAGGGAACGAAGAAGTTAATCCAATGTTTACTGCCAGGGTGTACAAACGAGAAACTTGGAAGCGTTTCCATGGTTGTCCCGTGACTTCAATTGCCTCGAATTAATCTCTGGAGACCTCCGGACACCCGACGCCCGTTCCTTAATTACAGACCAAAAGAAGGCCACATAAAATTTCTTGTATCGCCGACGTGCCATCGAAAAAAGCACCTAATCGCCGAGAAGAAGCAGGAAGCTACGAGCCCGATTAGCCATCGGCCGGAACAACATCGGCTGCTTTCAACGACGGTCCTCGTCTATCATCTCGCTTTTTGTCGCGCGATACTCGTCCGTCGTTGGTACAACACAAATTCCAGCGGATCGTCGGACCGTTACAACGTTTTGACGAGCCACGTCGACGCCCGGAAATCACTCGAAAATTACTCTGGAGATCGTACCTTCCCGGATTAGCCAACTGGATCTGGTCAACGCGGCTGATGGACTCTCAGACCGCGAAGCAGACTGTGTCGAATGGCTACAGTGGTTCTTAACCGACAGGCTACTGGCGGGACTGAAACTTTATTTCTATCGCGAACTGTGCACACTGACATTTGAAGTAGGTGTTATTTTCGTGACGAAGTTAAAATATGTATCGTAAATGGCGCGGTGGTCGACACGTCGGGCTCACGGCATAGAAAAAGGATAGAAAAAGATTCTTTATTTAATGCGTAGATAGCAATTATAGTTAAAAGCTCTGGTTACGGAAGAGAACTCTAAATTTAACGCGTAAGTAGTCGTGGCCACCTCTGGCAACCGTCCTCCACCGGATAAGAGCCACTGGCCTCTGATGGACAACACCTGACACGTTCGATTCTTCCATTCCCCCATCTCCGAACGAGTAAATTCGAAGGCGACGATTCGCGTCGCGGAAACTCGTTTCTAAGTTGCCAGCATTCGTAGTTCGCAACTCAATCTCCTCGACTTTCTCGACAGCGCCCAGCCCCTCGACCCTCCGCCGCGATGCCAGGTAGCGGGAAAATTTCGTTGGAACTCGGCGAATTTATTTAACGCCGGTAAAATGTCCGCGATACGTATTTCTATGTAAATGGTCCACGCATTAGGCGAATATGCCACTTTCAGCGATATATTAATATTAATGAGGCGACGTTAACGCCAACGGGAACTCCCGGAAGCTTCGGGACGCGCGGTGCGCTTTGTCTACGGTCCTGTTTAAGATACGGATACAGTTGTGTAATATTAATATTCATTTTAACGTTGTTACCACCGCGGAGTCGAGTTGCGTAATTCCGAACTTGCGAGTTTTCTCGCGAGGGGAAGGTAATTCTTAACCGACGGATCCCTCTCGAAACTCGGTGTTTTTCTCTCGAATTTCGCGAAGAGAGAGGTATCGCAAAAGTTAGGAAATTAAAGGATCGCTGTTATTTGTGTCGAACGGTGTATATTTACTTTTTGGATGATTAAATTTTTGGATGAAGATCAGAGAGCCTCGATTATCGCAAGAAATCGGGGTAAAAACTCGCGCAACAAGCGAGGTTCTACACGGACACGGTATTCGAGTTATACTTGGATGAGGAGTCGACTTTAAATACGAGTCGTATATTCTCGGCTAGGGGAACGTGCGTGAGAAGGTTACGGAAGAAATTTACGTATGACTTAGGTATAAAAGAGATTCGGTCCAGGGTAAGAGAAACCGAGAGATTTATATTCAGGGAGCAACAGAATATTAGAGAAGAGAATGGAATGGGCACGGGAATATGGGACTGGCGACGATCTAACTAGAAGACGAGGATGGGAAAAACGGCGGGATAAAGACTGACAAACATATTTAACTTTGACCTTCGTCGTTGACGTCTTAAACGTCCATCATTACTGACGAGAGTCGCGGCAGCTTTCTCAAAGGCCGACGACGCCTACGCAAGTGTGATTTCAGCTTGTTAGCGACAACGACGAAAATTATCCTCGACGAAATCGAGAATTTTAATTGGAGCAAACTCCGCGATCTTCTCGCGAAATTTTACCGTGACGCTTTCAACGAAAGTTTCGCGAAACAAAGCTCGACCGAAGCTATCATCGTCCCTCGCTTTTCGCAGCCGTCTCTCTGGAACTATAATTAATACCGAGCATTATTTTTACTCGTTTCTCGGGACCATTCGAAATCTCTGAAATAACGGTGGATCGTGTTCGTTCAACGAACGCATTCGATAAAATCACCGTTAATTAAATAAGTGGCTCTTCGCATTCCGTTCTTTGGAACTTTTCCCGCACTTCTTCATTTGGACTCGTTTCATGCATTATTTCATCGAATCGTACCATCGTAAATTTCACGATTTCGTTTGTATCTGGAGGTGGTTGCGAAGGATGATAAACACTCGTTTTATGTAATTGTCGATAAATAGATGAAATTCATTCTCTGTATAACAAACAACCTACTTATTTCGAACCTGCGAAACATATTCCACGCATATATGTCTGTCAATTTTTTATTTCAAAATTAACGCACAGTAAAATTAAACGATTAATCCCAACCGAGTGCATTCTTTTACACCGTATATCACTATACGTAGAAATCCGGAGAATCGAGCTGTATCGATCGTCGCGGCTTCGTGCAATCGAGTCCCGCCTGGTCCATCAATTTGCACCGCGTAATTGCATATTTGCCATTCGTTATACGAATATTTATTTACAGTATCGTCGAGTAAATATCGCGAGTCAAACACCGCTCAAAGAAACATGCTTTCATAAACAAAACGAATTGCCTGTATCCCCGTCAAAGTAAGCCCCTGTAACGCGCTCCGAAATTATTTTGCTCCTTTTACGAGTCGCTCCTCCGCGCGCCGAACAAAACCCAGGATTCGACGGTATTAAATATCCACTTTTTCTTTCATTCCGTTCGATTCGCGAGAGAAGGGAGAGACAGAGGGCTCCGGTTATTCAGGGAAATACCAATTAAAACTACCAATAAAGGTCTCCTCATTCAGGGATCAAGCGAACGCCACGGCTACGGGATCTACGATCCGTTTGAGGTCCGCGTTACGCACGCGATCAGGCAAATTCAAATTAGAGCTGGCAATAAAGGCTCCATGCAGGCCTCGAGAAGAATTAATTTCATTTTTTTCAATTCCACGCATCTACGCTTAAATCTCGGCCACATGAAAATTATTTTCCAGCCAGTATTTCGTTACCACTGGATTCTTCCGTTGAAACAATTAACAACGCGTACTGGAAGACGAGCGCGATGATAAAGCTGATTATAGAGCGAACAGACATAGATTCTATTTTTAATAAACGGAATATTATCTCTAGACATCGATTTCTTTGTTACGTACAAATTTGTTCGCTTTCGAAGTATTGTACTTTCTTTTGAGAAGCTCTTAAGAAGCTCTGGATACAAATATTCTGGAGCTATTATCATAGAGGTGTAGAACAACACGAGCAACAACTAAAAATAGAATAGAAATAGGAGTAGGTAATACGATTACTATTTTGACAAATTTCTATCGTCGATATCTAATTTTATACTATTCACGATTCGTAACACCTGCCTTCTCCTTCGACAGCCGCACAGCCGAGGATGTAAATTTATTAAATTTCCTTTCGAGCCAGCCCCATACCTAATTTACACTTCTCTAACGAATCCCCTCCTTCGGTTAGACTATTAAGGACGTTGCTGGTCGCGTCGAACACGAACGTCCACGATACACGGAATCGGGCGAGGGAACGTTGCCGCTTTAAAAGGGATTACCTGGGAAAGAGAAGAACGGAGGGTTCCGAAAGAGGGTTGCGCACCTCTCCGGTAATCCTGGACGAGTAATGATTTAATGACGCCTACGCGAGCCCCGGGCTTTCATAATGCGTATCCGGTATTTATTTATTTATACGGCGAGACGGCGGCGATAATGCTCGCAACGCAAAAGCGCGTTGTTTCTCACGCCTGTAAGTTCATTCGGGTCTTCGCGAACCCGTGAGGATGCGCGGAGAACCGAATCGGCTGGTCTCTCATTGTGTCGCGTCCCGCGCCAAGATGGAAGTGAACTTTACCACGGAAGGAGACGCGTTAATTGCGCCGCGCCGCGGCCAATTTCAGCAACGAACGCCTCCTTTTCTCCCCCTCCAACTGGCTGCTTTGTTAATGAAATTAATTCCAGTAATTCGAACGCCACGACTTCCTTTCGCCTTTTCGAGAGCGTTCAACTCCACGCGAAAAAGAGGTTTCCGCGCGATTTTTATATGCACGCCAATGGTTTTTCCGCTGGAAAACATTGCACGCCGGAAGGTTAGCGTGACCCATGTGGGACGGGGCTGAACTTCGGGCCGGATCATTCCGATCGATACGGAATTTATGATACCTGGCGTGTCGAATGCTGTAAGCACCAGGTTCGACAGATCGAGAAGAGACGAGATCTTAGACTTTGAACTAATTTCTTTGGAACTCCAACTGTCGATAAAATGATTGTCGATGAGACAAAGGTGACCTGATTTTCAAATCTCAAATTAGCAAATCTAAGCTTACCATTCGTGGTGATAGAATGCTAAGAAAGCATCTCGAGATGCTGGTAGATACCAGAAATAAAGGCCACGAATACAAAGGGTTAACAAACAGAAATTTTCTTATCGCGAAGTAGATTTAGAAATAAACTACCAAGGTAACGCAAAGAAATTCGCGGGAATCGTTCGAAACCTTGACGTCCGCGAGCATTTCCAAAAGCTGGAGAAAAAGGGAGCCAGCTTCGCACGGGAAACCTGAAACGATGATAAATTGTTCGCGAGGGTTTCCGTTCCACATTTACGATAACTATTGTTCCAGGATTCTTGGAAATCGACTTAAGAAGTAATTAAGAAATAATCGTTCCGACGTCCCCGTAGATAGATTCCTCCTGCGAGGTGCGCAGCTGCCTAGGAATCCCAGGTTCCGATGTTCAAAGGCAGTTAAACAGAAGCGCGAAGCGTGAGAATCCTCTGAACCCTCCACCTTATTTGCACCGCGGCAGAAAATTATACGCCAGGGAATGAATATGTATCAGGTACATTAATTGCGCAGGAAACATCGGTTTGGATGTTTTGTCACCACGTCGACTCTGTTTCTTGCGAGATCAGACAGGTAATGGGATGCGTGGGATGCGTTCATTTGCGAACTTTTATAGAAGAAGGATAACCGTTACACGTTTCTTCGCTCAAGTAATTGCGAGTACTTTTTATCTCTGCAGAAATATATACACAGTAGCGTACGCACGCGTGCATAGCGCAACGAGGAGTAGCTATACATCGGTACGAACCTAATCCTGATAACGTAACGCGACACCTGAGAATCGATTTCGGTATCGGTATCGGTATCGGTATCGGTATCGGTATTAATTGGATTGGTCCATTAGTGGAAAGTGATACTCGTAATTCAACTTTATCGAATTTTATTTCATGTACGCATGAATTTTTACGAATATACTTCGTCGTGTACGTACAACGATACAGAACGATAAACGAAAGAAAAATATT